AGGCCACACTCCAGGGAAACTCCCTTTACATTGGATCAGGGATGTGACCTGGGTAAGGGTGGTGTTACAATCCCACCCGAATCCTCTTTAACATAAAACTACAATCACAAAATGGAGGCCAACCACACAATTCTGGGAATCATGGCCCAGCCAAATTGATACACACATTTTTGGGGGGACATAATTCAATCCGTGACAAGTGGTTAAGTCCGGTGAAAGGTTACACAATACACAATACTAGGGAAGTCAGCATAGCTTACCCACGGCAAGTTCATGGAAGCTTCACAGACACATTCAAACTCCCTGAGAGACCAAATTATTGGGCTGAGGGCTGGGGACCATGGTCTTGGGAAACATCTAGCTCAACTGGCATAATATAGTTCATAAAGAAAATGTTCCACATTCTACTTTGGTGAGTAGCATCTGGGGTCTTAAAAGCTTGTGAGCAGCCATCTAAGATATTCCACTAGTCTCACACTGTCTGGAGCAAGGGAGAATGAAGAAAATCAAAGATGCAAGGGAAAGATTAGTCCAAAGGATAATGGGCCACAACTACCACAGCCTCCACCAGACTGAGTCCAGCACAACTAGATGGTGCCTGGCAACCACCACTGACTGCTCTGACAGGGATCACAACAGAGGGTCCTTGACAGAGCTGGAAAAATGTAGAACAAAATTCTAACTCACAAAAAAAGACCAGACTTACTGGTCTGACAGACTGGTGAAACCCCAAGAGTATGACCCCCGGACACCCTTTAAACTCAGTACTGAAGTCACTCCTGAGGTTCATCCTTCAGCCAAAGATTAGACAGGCCCATAAAAACAAACGAGATTAAATGGGCTCATCAACCCAGGGGCAAGTACAAGAACACAGGAGGGGACAGGAAAGCTGGTAATGGGGGAATCCAAGGTTAAGAAGGGGAGAGTGTTGACATGTTGGTAACCAATGTCACAAAACAATATGTGCATTACTTCTTTAATGAGAAACTAATTTGCTCTGTAAATCTTCATCTAAAGTACAAATAAAAAAAATTGAGGATCCTAAAGACCTTTTTTAATGTGAATTAAATACATATCAATATTATACATATTAATCAAACCTGAGAAAATTTAAAATATCATTTGATTTAAAGTAACAGTAATAAATCCATTACATGCTAATATAGCTTTATAACTTGTTGTTAGGTGCCATGGAGTCAATTTCAACCTGTAACAACCCCATGTAAAAGAGCTGAACTGCCTCACAGTGTTTTCTAGGCTGTGACCTTTATGGGAGCAGGCTGCCAGGTCTTTCTCCCACGGAGTGGCCAACTTTTTGGCTAGCAATTAAGCTCTTAACCATTGCACTGCCAGGGCTCCTTATGAAAATAATTATAATCTCTAAAAGAAAAAAAATGTTGAGAAGAGTCGCATTTTATACATTTTGGCATATCCCTTTAATGTCTGGCTTAATGCAAAATAGTTGGGTTCTCATATTTGCTTCTTCATTCAGTCTTTTGCAATGTGTTATCTGGTTGAAGGATATGAAGCAAATTCAGCTTCTTATCGGTATAAACTTCGAAAATGGAGAATTTTAACAGCCATTGCAGATACTAGTGGTTATTCTTTTTTTGATACTACACCAAATCTCCACAAAAGGTAGTTTCTTAAAGGTTAGTTGTTATGTGGAATCTGAAATAATTTCAACGAACTTTTTGTACTCCATTATAAACTTGTAAGAGAGTGTATCATTTTGAAAATAGGTTTCATCTTGCAGATCTCCCTAAGAAGTCCCAGGGACCTCCCTCCCCTAGGGTTCCCTGGACCACACATTGAGAACAACTGGCTTATGCTGTACTTTTCAAATTAGCTTTTTAAGGCAAGTGATGCTGGTTTTCCATTCATGATAACATTAAATGGACTTGTTTAAAATAAAACTTTGTTAAAATAAATAATTTTAAAATATATTAAATAATAGTACAGAGGGTAGGTAAACCAAAATATCAAATCTGACTCATAGCGACCCTACAGGACAGAGTAGATCTGCCCCATATGGTTTCCAAGTTGCGGCTGGTGGATTCGAACCGTCGACCTTTTAGTTAGCAGCCTGAGCTCTTAACCACTATGCCACCAGGGCTCCAGAGGGTAAGTAGTTATAGGGGGAAAAAAAATGTAAAGGAGTTTTAAGGAAAACAAAGAACCAGTCTAATCCTCCAAACCTACCCTTTACACCTTTCCATAGACAAAGAAACTGCCTAAATAGCTTTCCGTCAGCTCATTTCTTGGCTCTTTCTAAAGCTGAGATTTTGGCTTTATATGTCAAGTCCTCAGAGAGGGGTCACCAACCAATCCACTTAAAAACGCTTGATGGCACAACTGTTACTCGGCAGGTTGTGTTCAAACCCACCTGGCGGCTCTTCAGGACAAAGACCCGGTGATCTGCTTCCATAAAGATTATAGCCAAGAAAACTCTATGCGGCAGCTCTACTCTGTCATATGGAGTCACCATGAGTGGAAATCAACTGGCTGGCATCCAACAGCAATAACAATTATAGATTTTAAAAAATCAATCACTACATTGTTGGAATATTTTAAAATCATGATTGATACCATAAAACAATTTTACTTCAGTGACAAAGGAACATTATCAAATGTAGGTTACTGATAACAATAACAAATATCACTAAATGGATTATATAATTCCTTGTCTACTTCTAAGGCATTAAGGATTGGTGGAAACATAAGTGACAATCATGTTTTTATTTATGACATGGTATTTTCAATATTATAGTCTGCTTATTCAAAACACCAATCATAAGCTAGGACACAGACATCTTGTTATTAAAATATATATATATATACACACACACACATATGTGCATACTGTGCATGGTATTTTCAATCACCTAACATGCATGCAAAAGCTGGACAATAAATAAGGAAGACCGAAGAAGAATTGATGCCTCTGAATCACGGTGCTGGTGAAGAATATTGAATATACCATGGACTGCCAAAAGAACCAAAAAATCTGTCTTGGAAGAAGTACAGCTAGAATCCTCCTTAGAAGCAAGAATGGCAAGACTTCGTCTCGCGTACTTTGGACATGTTATCAGGGGGGATCAGTCCCTGGAGGAGGACATCATGCTTGGCAGAGGGTCAGGGAAAAATAGGAAGACCCTCAATGAGCTGGACTGACACATTGGCTGCAACAATGGGCTCAAGTATAACGATTGTGAAGATGGCGCAGGACCAGGCATTGTTTCGTTCTGTTGTACACAGGGTTGCTACGGGTCAGAAGGGACTCGACGGCACCTAATAACATATATATACGTATGTGTGTCTATATATGCATATATATATCAAACAAAGTAATCAGTGGACTGTACAATTGTATATTATTAGACCCCATGTGGTAGCAGGCAAATCATTTTACCTTGCTGGGCAAGTTTCCTCATCTGGAAAGGAAAATGTGTCACTGAAGTGATAATACCTGTTTCAAATCTGAAGTTAAAATGACTCCATAATCTATCATTCTTTACGAAGTGTAGGTTCAAAACGCTATTTTTTTTTTTTTGTAAATTTAAACTTTTAAATGACTTAAAGAATTATTTATAGATGAATTCATTTTAGAAGGGTTATGTGTGTGTGAAATATCTTATTTATCCATTTATTAATCCAGATTTTCATAAGTAAATTTAAGTGATACATAGTTTTTTTAGGATATTAAGCATTTGCTCCATTATTAAAACTGGATCGATGTTTCTAACAACATTTTTCTTTCCTGTATCAACATCAGCCTCCCATCTTACCATACAATTGATAACATTTTGCTTTGAAATACTTTGCACCATGCAGACTGAATGCTAAACGTTTCTGATTAATGGCACACAGTGGCATATATTAAGTTGAACCTAATACACAAACTGTCGCTTGCCTAGGTAAAAAAAAAAAAAAAAAGGTGGAATACAGGCAACTTTGTATGGTACAACCTAATTACTTAGATGACAGATCAGAGACTAATCCTAAAAAACACTGCTGGTAAGGAAGAACTCTTCTTTTTCTAAATTTTATAAATAAAATACCTAAAATAAGATACTTCTACATTACTATTAATCCACTCAATTCTGATTTCCTACTAAGTGGCAGCATTGTGCAAAGGACTTACAAACCCAACTAAATAGGAATCCTGCCCTTAAGGAGTCTGCATTCTGAAGGGTAAAATGAAAAGTTAGGTACACAACTTAACATACAGAGTAGAAAGGGAGAAGTATCACGAGATAGAGAGGTCGAAATTCATGGGAATACAAGATTACTTTCAGTTCAGGCTAAAGGTTCTCTTTGAGAATACTAACTTATAAAGAAAAGGGAACAACTACTTGCATGCTGATGTGAAACTTAACCTTTTCCACAGAGGTCACCCTGACTCAGGCAGGCGGCCCAGTTACAGCGGACGAAGACGGGGCGAGTAAGGGTCACAGAAACCTGCCTCAAAGGAAGGTTAATAGGCGGCCCCTTTCAGGCCCTTGGGGAACCCCTATCGAGACCTCGCCTCACCTGACCGTCCTGACGACGAAATACACGAGTACCGCGCCGCTAACCACCATCAACACCGTCAGGGCCCGCTGGGTCATGGGCTTGTCGCCAGGGTTGGGGCTCACAGCGAGGCCGCCGCCCACTGCGCCTCCTTCTCCAGCCTTCTCTTCGTGGCCCTCTGCCACAAGCCCGGCCCGGGGGGTGCTACCATTGCCGCCCTCGGCACCCCGCGGCCCCGTGGCCTCGTTCGGAACTCGGCCCGGCGGCTGGGCGGCGGTGGAGCCCGGCGGCAGCGGCGGTAGGCTCTGCAGCCCGGAGTTCGGTGGCCCTGGGCCCGGCGCGGCCTCGGCCGCCAGCAACAGCACCGCCATGGACCCGCTCAGCGCTGGCAGCAGCAGCAGCAGCAGCAGGAAGGCGGGGACCAGGAGACGGCTGAAGCAGCAGCAGTGCAGGGCCTTCATCGTCCCCGGACTGCCCTCTCAGCACGCGAGAGGGCCGGGCCCGCCGCCCTGGCTCCAGGAGGGAGCATGGGCGCAGGGGAAGGACTAGAAAGAAGCGACCAAATCCCGGGCAAAGGCCCAGCGGTAGCAAGTGGTAGAGGAGGTAGCGGCAGCAGCTGATAGGAGAACCGGAAGTTCGCACATCTCAGCAGCCACTGCTGCTAAGGACGCTTTCGGTTGCCAACAGGTGGGGCGGGGCGCGTCCCGTGACGTCCGATACGCGCGGGCTCTGGTAGAAGAAATGGACATCTGGGCGTGTTCCCTTCCCTATTTCCCTTACTTGTTTCGTACCGAAAGGAGTGGTAGCTGGGATGAGTCACAAGTAAAATGTAGACAGAAAAAGTGTTCTGTAAAATGTGCAGCAATTTTGTATGCGGGAACCACGAGATATAGGAAGCTCACATTTTGAGGTCCCTGGTGCAAAACCGCAAAAATACACCTAATCAGTAACATGGAACTTCGGTGTGAGCGAATGTTAACAAAAACACTTAGACCAGAAGCCGAAGTTGATATTTGTCATTTTTAAAACTTATTCACTTAACAAATCGTTTAGAGTTCCTACTCTTTGCTTAGTAGTGAGAAACAGTTTTAATTTTCCTGGAATCCAGTTTTCTGGGGTCCATGGAGTTGGGATGACCTGCCCAGGCCATTGCCCTGAAGGTGACCTTTTGAACCTTGAGTCTTGAGCAGACTGGTTTCCTAAAGTCACCTGTAAGTCTAATAGCCTAGTAAGCAGTTTAGTGAAGACCGTTTTGCCTTAGACATTGTGCTCTTTTGAAGAATTATCTATGTGCAGTTTCCAGAAACAGAAACTCTACTGTTGGACCGGAAGCTGTGTTTTAGGGTAAATTGTTATTATGGGAACGCTCTTCCCCGGCCCTTTTCCATGGCAATGTCGGTAAGATGGGGTATCAGAATCTTTAGAAGTTCTTTTTATCTTTGGAACATTTTTGAGTCCCTAGTCCTAGTGGCGCAGTGGTTAAGAGCTGTAGTTGCTAACCAAAAGGTTAGCAGGTCAAATCCACCAGCCGCTCCTTGGAAACCCTATGGGGCAGTTCTACTCAGTCCTATAGTGTCGCTATGAGTCGGTATCACTCCACGACAATGGGTTTGGTTTTTCTGGTTTAGTTTAAATGTTACCTTGATTTGCAAATCGTATGTTAAATAAACGTCAATCAATTTCTATTATTGACTTAATAGGATTTTTGTTTTAACAGTACTGTGCTAAATTCTGGGTATTGGATAAAAAAACAAAAAACCAAACCCGTTGCCTTCAAGTTGATTCCGACTCATAGTGACCATATAGGGCAGAGCAAACCGACTCATAGGGTTTCTGACCACCGGCTATTGGATTTGAAAAGCCGACCTTTTGGTTAGCAGCGAAGCTCTTAACCACTGCGCAGGGTATTGAATAGTGAACAGATAAGATGTGATCCCTGTCCTCATAACACATTATCCATGTGGGGATAATGGCAATAAATAATCACACTTTTGAATTATGATAAGTGTATTTTGATTAAAAATACAAGATGTACAGTACAGATTTGTAAAAGGCTATTTTACAATAGGCAGGGTAAGCAGGATTTAGTGTCTTCTACCTGCTTTCAGGGAGCAGGGTGATAATGTTGTTCCTGCTTGATAAAATTACACAGGGACTAGGCATTACAGTCATTTTGATATGTCAAGTGCACCTGACTCAAGCAATGGGCTTTTCAATTGACTCTTATGCGTGTGAAACCTGGACAATGAAAAGACAAGACTGAAGAAAAATTGATGCATTTGAACTGTGGATTTGATGAAGAATATTGAATATACTGTGGATGCTAGAAGAACAAACAAATCAGTCTTTGAAGAAATAAAACCAGAATGCTTCTTAGAAGTAAGGATGGCAAGACTTTGGCTTGCTTACTTTGGACAGGCTATCAAGAAAGATTAATCACTAGAAGAAGATATGGTTGGTAGAAGGTCAATGAAAATGAGGGAAACCCCCAATGAGATGGATTGACACAATAGCCAAAACAATGGACTTAAACATACCAACAATCATGAGGATGGCACAGAAGCCAACTCCATGGCAACTAACCTCTTAATGCTGGGTTTCAGTGTGAGAAAGCCCATTTGTGAAACAACTGACTTTCAACATCTGATTTGGTGGTTTGTAAGTAATAAAATGGTTCCTTGGGTTTCCAATCTTCATTACTCATGGTTTATTTATGGATTTATTCAGAACCATACATGGAAGAAGGCTGATATTTAATGTCACACATCCTCTCCCCCAAGATACTCCAACATTCAACACATCAAAACAGAGAAACAAGTTTTTAAAAACTGCATTATTCTTTCTTGACAAAACTCGATTTTGCCCTCGTGTTCCTTATTTTAATTCATGGCATTACTCTTTACTCAGGTGATCAGGCGTAAAACCTCTGTTGCCCAGGGCTTCCTATCAGTAGCAGTCCTTGCCAGTGACTAGCATGTGCAATGGGCTAAATGATTCTGAAATCTCCAAATCAAACCAAATAAGTAGAGCAAAGCTATGTTCTAATATTTCTGAAAATGTGATTTTATACCACTTGAATCAGAATCAGAAGGAGAATTGTTAAAAATGTAAATTTTAGTTCACTATTTCCACCGTGTGTCTGTCAGTATGTCATACTGTGCTGGCTTGTGTGGTGCTGTGACACTAGAAGATATGCCACCAGTGTTTCAAATACCGGCAGGGTTACCCATGGTGCACAGGTTTCAGCGGAGCTTCTAGGCTAAGATGTACCAAGAAGAAGGACCTGGTGGTCTACTTCTGAAAAAATGGGCCCATGTAAACCTTATGAATAGAGGCAGAACATTGATACAGTACTGGAATATGAGCCCCTCAGGTTGAAAGGCACTCAGAATACAAATGGGGAAGAGCTGCCGCTTCAGAGTAGAGTCAGCCTTAATGACATGCATAAAGTAAAGTTTTCACAACCTTCATTTGCTCATGTGACACTACTCAAAATGAGAAGAAACAGCTACAAACACCCATTAATAATCAGAACATGGAATGTATGAAGTACACATCCAAGAAAATTGAAAGTCGTCAAAAATGAACTGAAACTCATAAAGACCTATATCCTACATATTAGTGGGCTAAAATGAACTGTTATTAGCCATTTTGAATCAGACATTCATATGTTCTATTATGCCAGAAATGACAAATCGAAGAGGAATGGCATTGCATTTGATGTCAAAAAGACCATTTCAAGATCTATCCTGAGGTACAACACTGTCAATGATCTGATAATATCCATATACCTACTAGGAAGACCAGTTAATACCACTATTATTCAAATTTATTACCAACCACTAATGCCAAAGATGAGGAAATTAAAGATTTTTACTAACTTTTGCAGTCTGAAAATGATCAAACATGCTAATAAGATGCATTGATAATTATTGGTGATTAGAATGTGAAAGTTGGAAAAAATGAAGTATCTGTAGTTAGAAAATATGGTCTTGGTTATAGAAACGACACTGGAGATCTATCTCCAACTTATTCATTGCAAATACTTTTTAAACAACATAAACAGCTACTATACACATAGACCTTGCCAGATGAAATACACAAGAATCAGTTTGAATACATCTGTGGAAGAAGAAGATGGAAAAACTGAATATCATCAGTCAGAACAAGGCCAGGGACTGACTGTGAAAGAGACCATCAATTGCTTATATGCAAGTTAAAGTTGAAGCTTGAGAAAATTCAAAGAAGCCCATGAGAGCCAAAATACAACCTTCAGCATATCCCACCTGAATTTAGAGACCATCTCAAGAATAAATTTGATGCACTGAACACTAATGATTGAAGACCAGACGAGTGGTGGGATGACAACAAGGACATCACACATGAAGGAAGTAAAAGGTCATTAAAAAAACAGGAAAGAAAGACAAGACCAAAATGGATGCCAGAAGATCCTTCATGTACACTTTCTAAATAATTGAAGTTTATCCTTTCAAAAGCAAAATTGGGCTTTTTGTTTTTTGTCTTTTAACTTCTCAGCATTCTAGATGGAAACAATGCTGGAAATAGTCCTGCTTTGCTATACAGGGTAAAATGAGTTAATTCTACTCTTCTCTGATGTTTCAGGATCATTCTGATTATTCCATTTTGATGTAAAACAGTGGTGCCCTCAGGAGTTATTGAGATATTCTGAAATTTTCTCTTGAACTTAGAAAAGTTAAAATGAATGGAATAAATGAGGAAGTAAAAGAGCTGAACAGAAGATTTCAAAGGGCAGCTGGAGAAGACAAAGTAACATTTTATAATGAAATGTGCAAAGACTTGGAGTTGGAAAACCAAAACGAAAGAACACGCTCTGCATTTCTCAAGTTGAAGAAACTGAAGAAACAATTCAAGCCTCCAGTTGCAATTTTAAAGGATTCTATGGACAAAATATTGAACAATGCAGTAAGCATCAAAAGAAGATGAAAGGAATACGTAGAGCCACTATACCAAAAAGAATCGGTCGACATTCAGTTATTTGAGTAGGTGGCCTCCGATCAGCAACCAATGGAATTGAAGGAAGAAGTCCAAGCTGCGCTGAAGGCACTGGTGAAAAATAAGGTTCCAGGAATTGACAGAATACCAATTGAGATGTTTCAACAAACGGATGCAGCTCTGGAAGTGCTCACTCAGCTATACCAAGAAATTTGGAAGACAGCTACTTGGCTAACCGACTGGAAGAGATCCATATTTTTGTCCATTCCAAAGAAACCTGATCCAACAGAATGGAGAAATTATCAAACAATATTATTAATATCACACACAAGTAAAATTTTGCTGAAGATCATTCAAAAGCAGATGCAGCAGTACACTGACAGGGAACTGCTAGAAATTCAGGCAGGATTCAGAAGAGGACGTGAAACAAGAAATACCATTGCTGATGTCAGAATCTTAGGTGAAAGCAGCGAATACCAGAAAGATGTTTACCTGTGTTTTATTGACTACGCAAAGGCATTCGACTGTGTGGAACATAACAAATTACGAACAACATTTCAAAGAATATGAATCCCAGAACACTTAACTGTGCTCTTGCGGAACCTGTACATAGAAAAAAAGGCAGTCGTTCAAACAGAACAAGGGGATACTACATGATTTAAAATCAGGAAAGTTTTGCATCAGGGTTGTACCTTTTCACCATATTTATTCAATCTATATACTGAGCAAAGAAACCTAGGAGTCGGACTATATAAAGAAGAATGTGGCATCAGGATTGGTGCAAGACTCATTAAGAGCTTTCGATATGCTGATAACATGACCTTGCTTGCTAAAAGCAAAGAGGACTTGAAGCACGTACTGATGAAGATCAAAGATCACAGCCTTCAGTATGGATTACCCCTCAACATAAAGAAAACAAAGATCCTCAC